TTGACTGTTGATTGATACAAAATCAAAAGCTAGAAATGGTCCCTGTTCTCAAGGAACTCACATACTAATTGGGTGAAGGAGGGCTCTCCTGCAGAGTGGATAGCAAGGCTCAGGACTCCTTAGGGTGAATCCACAGGACAGATGGAATCTGGAGGGCATGCTGTGAGGGCAAATGATAAAACTCTGAGGACCTTAGGACCAAGTGGTAAGGCAAATAGCAAGGCTTGGGTGTCTTCTGTCTTACTAGTCCTCCATATCATAGTAGGTGACTCCTAGTTCCCGTGAGTGAAAGAACAGTCATGTCCACTCTGCAAGGTGGGGGTATAAAGGAGCCTGGCTTACTACCATTGTGAAATGAGGAGTTTAATTGGAAGCTCAACTTTTTGTCCATTTGTACTATTTATCCCAGGTTGAAATACTTTTGGGCAAGTTATACAGGTTATCCTTTCACCTGTATGCCATAATCTGCATAATAAACATTCTTTATCTATTTGGTCTTTTCTATGTGGATGATCCGGCCAAACTCTTCTGAGTGATTACTAGAATGTAGAATGTTCAAACTGGAAGGGACCTTAGAGATCACCCAGCTCCATCCCAACATTTTTTAAATAAGAAAACTGTGGCCCAGAACATCACCTATTGCCTATATTTCAAAAATAATGTCTTAAATGGCCCCCCCTGCCTTTATCCTGGTCCCTTTTCAATTCAGATTTTACTCAGCTGCTAAACTGTGTTACCTTGGCCAAGTCACAACCTCCATAATTTTCTGAATGAACAGGTTACCCTGTGCTCAAAAACCATCACTGGTTCTCTGTTGCCTGTAAGATAAAATGCAAACTCCTTGATCTGACACTTAAAGCAGCTAGATGACAGTGCACAGTGTTGGATTAGCAGTCAAGAAGACCTGAGTTCAAATCCTGCTTAGATACTTACTGGCTGTCTCTTCCTGGGCAAGTCATCTAACCTCTTTCAATGTGTTTCCTCATCTATAGAATGAGGATAATGAGAGTTACCTACCTTGTTGTTTGTTTTTAGTGCTGGAAGAAGACCAAGCAGATGATGCCATGACATGCAAGTGAATTGGATTTAAGTGAGAGAGGGCTGTGCAAAGTCACCTCACTTTCTCTTCAGGAGCCATCTGGGTCCAGTGGCTAGATATACATCAGGACAACTGGAGATGGCCCCAGATGCTGTGTAAGACCTAGGCCTTTTAAAACTAAGGTCTTTATCAGGTCTCAGTTTGAGGCAATGCCCATTCCATGATTAAGGCAAGGTAAAAATGAGGCAAAGAATAGCCTCTTTAATCTAGTCCGGGGGAAAAAAATTAAACTGAGACCCTGAGAGTTTCTGGTCAAAACAAACAATTCCTATTTACATTCACTCTAAGTCAATCTGGGCCCAAACAATGACCAAGTGGGGTTTGACCTATGACCTATTGTTAACCAATCAGTGAGAGTCAGAGTAATTTGGGTTTAAAGCTTTGTCCTAAGCAACCGATTGGATAGGGGTGGGGAGGTTGAGGAGAGAAATAAGGTGGCCCTGAAGTCTTAAATCCCAGAGATTGGGAAGCTGGGGAAGAGGGACTGGGGAGAGGGGAAGAGGTCAAAAGCAACAGGGAAGGGAGGGGAGAGTGGATGAATAGGAGACAGTATAGCCCAGTGGAAAGAGCAATGTTTCTGGAGGAAGATAGGCTGGGTTCAATCAGATCCCACCTGGATGTTTTCCTTCTGTGCCTTCATCTCCTGAGTCAGAATTCTATCTGTCAAACTAGAGGGTTGAACTAGATGGCCTCTGAGAGCCGTTTGAGATCCAATCTGATGAAATCTTGAGAGGAATTCTCTTTTCTGAAAGACAGAAGCAACTCAAGTTGCATGGGGTAGCTCAAGCTCCTTTTCAGAATCTCTCTGCCTCTCTGAGACAGTGGGTGGAATACCAGAATACTAGAATACCAGAAGCTGGGGCCCAGAGATGGTGTGATTTACCCAAAGCCACAACAAGTGGTAAGAGAAAAAGGTGGGATTCCAACCCAGGTGGTCTGAATCTCAACCAATCACACCATGCTGTCTCTCTTCCCTTAGTTGCCCATGGACTCTAGGCCACAAGTATATCTTGGGAAAAGTGATACATTCAACAATATTAAGAGCATGGCTATAGAGCATCTAATATGTCAGAACTAAATGCTTGTCCTCTCCCCTCCATTGTGTTGCTTCCTCATCAGAGCATCTCTGTGGCATAGCTTTTATCCAGCCTATTCTAGCAAGTTACGTTTGCTAACTATATCTTCAGCTCAGATTTCCCAGGTTCAGTATGGGTCATGCTTCTCAGTTTTCCTAGGTCTGATTCTGTTTTTATTTGGACTCCAAAGGGAATGGGGTTTCCTGCCCCAGAATCCTCTGTGGCAGCCATTCACATTGGTCCACCTAGGGGTTCAGAAACAAAGTGATGCCTTAGTTTACAATCCCTGAATTAAGCTCAGCCCAACAAGCGTGATTTAAAATGCCACATCAAAGCTAGACATTATTGTTATTAAGGCCTTTCAAAATCTACCCCCTCCCTAACCACCTTTAATGGCTCAGTTTATGGGGCATTTCTTATCAGAAACTTTTTCAGATACCCTTAGTTGTGAGTACTCCCTTCTTATTATTTCCCCTTTGCAAATGATCCTGTATATACTTATCTGTTTACTTGTTTTATATTTTCAGTAGAATATAGGCTTCTTGAGGACAATAATGTTTTTTCCCTTTGCTCATTTTGTATACTTTGTATTTGGCATAGTGTGTTCGCACAGTAGGCAATTAATAAATACTTTTTAGATTGGATCTTACCTTTCCAGCCTTATTTGGTATTGTGCATTCTAAACTCCACCATACTGGACTGATAGCTGTTCTTCAAACTTAATAAGCCATTCTCTCTTGTCTGGGATGTACTCCCTCCTCACCTCTGCCTTGCAGAATCTTTCTGTTCCAGCTCAAGTAGCAGCACCTCCTTGGTAAAGCATTCTTTAATCTCTTGAACTGAAAGTTTTCTCTTCATAGAATTTTCTTCAGCATTTGTTTGGCTCTCCATCCCATCATGCTCTACCCCAATTATTCTTATGTGTGTTCATGACCTATACTCTGCCAGATGTCCCCCCCATCCCCACCGTCCCACACCTAAAATGTAAGTTTCAGGACAGCAAAGGCTGAAAGTTTTTTTTTTAATCTTTGTATTCCCAATGCCTAGCATGGTGATTTACATGTAGTTGGCTACTAAAAGCAATAGATCTTGGTTGAATTGAATTGAATTGCCCACGATCATACAGGTAGCAGATGGAATTCATCCATCAAACATTTACTTAGCACTTGTGAAGTGCAGAACCTAGTGTGGGGAATTGGGGAAGAGGGGAAGGGGTGGGGCCAACATAAGGGGAGCTTAAAAAACTCAAGTTTCGCAAAAGTTTGGTGAGAGATTAGGGGAGGGAGTGCTGAGGGTGGAATAAAGAACAGTGATAGGATGTCTTTCCCTGACTATTTTGTCCATCATACCAGGCCTTAACCCAGGACCTGTCTGTAATGAGAAAGCCGCCAATCCATAAATTTCTTGGAGGGGTCTTGGGTTTGACCCCTGGGCTTTAACCCAGCAGCATTGGTGGTAGTTGCGCGCCATCTCCTGGCCAAAGATGGCTGAGCAGCTAGAAAAACAATTTTTCAGTCGTGTCCGACTTCTCGTGACCCCATTTGGGGTTTTCTTGGCAAAGATACTGGAGTGGTTTGCCATTTCCTTCTCTAGCTCATTTTTATAGATGAGGAAACGGAGGCAAGCAGGGCTAAGTGACTTGCCCAGCGTCACACAGCTAGTAAATGTCTGAGGCCGGATTTGAACTCTTTTAGTTCGGTACTCTGTACACTGCGCCACCTAGCTGCTCTAGAAAAATAATTAGAGGATCCAAAAGTGGAATTGGCTGTCGGTAGATAATCTCATATAGATACTAATAGTCAGGTATTTAATAGACGGGATTAATTCTTGCTCATATGAGGACTGGACTTCCTATTCTCCTGATGTTCATTTCAATCCCGAGATTCCATTACACTTATGTAGCCTTTGGCAAGTCACGGTCCACCTCTTTGAGTCTCAGTTTCCCTATCTGTAAAAGGTTAGGCTTCTATTCCTTGGTCACTAGAGTTCATTGATAGTGTAGGTGCGGAAAAGGAAAAGTAGTGTTGGGTCATGTGAGAGATCACCTTCAAGTCTCTCATTTTTCAGACGAGGAAACTGAGTTCCATTGGTGTCATGATATAAAGTGGTGAACTTGGGGTCAGGAGAGACCTGTTCAAATCCCGGTTCCGAAATTTACCAGCTACGCAACCCAGGGCAATTTTTCTGAGCTTTAATTTCCCCATCTGAAAGATGTGATTATCTTTGAACAGTCTTCCTCATGGGAATGTTGTGGAGGTGTTTTGTTATACTCTATAAATGTGTTTAATAAACACATTATGATCCAACAAGCAGGTTGACAATAGTAGCGGAACCTAATTCCTGCCATTTAATCCCAGGGAACTATTTGTCCTGCAGAAACTAAAAAAGGGCGCTCAATGACCCCGCCCCCCGTGATGCCCCACCCCCTGGGGGCGGACCTTGTAGCACGTGCTCTCTTAGCCCTCGGTAGCCTACAGGAAGGAAGGGGCTGGTCTTAATCCGAGGAGCTACCCTTTTGGAGAAGTTTATTCTTTAGTAAAGGGGAAACTGCAGCACCACAAGTCTAGTAATTGTAAAAAAAATAAATGCAAAGGCACAATATGTAAGGGATTATTGATTACAATTTTAAAATAGAGGGAGATCTCGGGGTCATTCTTATCTGTGATGTCACGGCCCCTTTTATGGGGGGGCTCTTCCTTTCACCTCTCCCCATGATGAGGGTGGTGTTGGTATGTCCCGATACGGGGCGGTGCCACAGGGAGGACTCCATTTCCCGGCGTGCCCTGCGTAGCCCAGTGAGTTGGGCGCGGTGACGTCGGGGGAGGGAGCTGGCCAGTGCTGAGGGGCCGGGCCCGGGGCTCGGCCGGGGAGTTTCAGTCAGCGCCGGAGCCTTGGGAACCCAGTGCAACTCCCAGCCCAACGCCGAGCAGCTCAGCCTAGCTCAGCTTGTCCCGGCCCGGCCCGGCCCGGGCCATGACAGCCTCCGCCTCTGGGGAGCCGCCCCTGGCGGAGCTGCGGGCCCCGCGCTGGCCCTGAGCGCGCCCATGGAGCGGGACGAGCGGCCGCAGAGCGGCGCCGGAGGCTCCTCCGCTTCTCCAGAGCCGCCCCTGGCCCCGGCCCCTGCGGCGGCTCCGGCAGCAGCCCCGGCACCGCGCAACGGTAGGTACCCTGCACCCGCGCCCCGCACCTCACTCCAAACGCCGGGCTCCCCCTGCCTCTCTCTTCGACCCCCATCCCGTACTATCCTGCTCCTGCTCCCCCTTCTCTAGTCGTCCCCAGCATCCATCCTGGTTCCCCATCCTTTTCATACCCCTTGACCTCCCACCCTGCTCCCTACCCCCATCTCCGGACACTTCCCTCCTCTCTCGGAACCCCACCCCCATCCTAATTTTCTGGTCTCCTTTCATCCTCTCTCTTCTGCCCAAATTCCCTCTTCCAGCCTCTCCCTTGTCCCACCCCCCCATGTCCGAACCTACCCCCACCTCCTTCCTTTCCCCAATCTCTGGACCTCAGTCCCATTTCCCGTCCACCTGGACTGGAACTCTTCTCCCCTAGGCCTCTCCCCCCTTCTCCCCCCAGCCAATCTTCGGGCCTCCCCCTTTCTTCCTCCCTATTCTCCGGACCATTCCACCCCCTCTGCTTTCAACCTCTCTGGGACTTGAGTTCCTCAGTTCTCCAATCTCTTCACCACAATATCCGTATCTTCTCTTCCCTCTATTCTTGGGACCCTTCTCACCTCCCCCATAACCCGGACCCCCTTCTCCCATTTTCCCCTTCTCGTACCCTTCTCTCCCTTCCCCCTCCTTCGGACCTCTCTTGCTCCCCGGATCCCTTTTTTCCCTCTTCCCTCCCCTCCTCCCGAGGGGTTTTTACCCATTTCTCCCCCTTCTCTCCCCCCATCCCCCTCATCCCTTCTGCTCTCCTGGACCTCACATCCTCTCAGTTCTCCAGATCCCTCCACCTTCTTCCGGCTGCCCCCACCCCATTCTTCTAATTTCAAATTCCCGGGACAACCGCTCTCTCACTCTTGTCTGTAGTGGACTCCTCCTTATTTTAGGAGCCTAATCTCCGCCTTCGTCCCTATTTTCAGGACTCCCCAAGTATAGGTCCCTGCCTCCCCTCATCTATATCTTTTCTGTCCTCAGCCTCCTGTTCCAAGTCTTCTCTAGTCTTACCTTTCTTAGACATATCCTCTCCCGCCCCCATTTTCTGAACCCTGTCTCACCTTTTCGGGGTTCTGTGAATTAATTCCCTTCGATTCCACAAGTACGGGTGCTCCTAGAATCTTGGGTGTTTCTCACTCCCTCTTTAGTTTTCCCGGCCCTTTTCGATCCCTTACCTCTCCTTCCTTATTTCGTAGTTTCCTCAGTCCATCTCTGTTGCCCAGTCCCACCACCTTCCAGTTCCTTCTACACTTTTCCCTCCTGGATTCTTTATGCAGGTCTTTAAATCTCTGAATCATTTTACCTGGGGGCCCGGACCCCTCTACTTAGCAGTCCTAGCGTTTCCCCTCTCAGTCAGCTTTTACATCCCCCCCCCGGGTCTTTCCTCAAGAGCTAGCCCCACTTTCCAGGGGCTCTTTGAATTCCTTTCCCCTGTCGACTTCTTTCCACCCCCACCCCCCTCCTCTCTTCCTGTTTCTCTTTTCTGTCCATGGTCTCTGACTTTGGTTCTTATTCTTAACGTGAGCAGCCTGTAGTGACCACAGGTTTTCGTTTTCCCACCTCTTCTCTCCAATTCTCATCCTGCCCCTCAACTTATTCTCTTTGAATATAAGGTTATAAAAGAATGGTCCGTCCCTCATTGGCCCCGCCACTGCTTGGTACCCTGATTCACCCCCACTAGAGCCTTAAAGAGCCCTGCTTGAGGAATTGGCCCTTCCAGGGCTTTGTCCCTGTTGGCTCATAGGAGGTTTGTAGAGATCTGTGAGGCCCCAGAGTGAAGGCTTTGGAAAGCGAGATGGTGAAGGTGGGCATCCCGCTTAGGTAGCATATCACCCTTTTATTCAGGCCTCTTGGGTTCCTGACTGCCCTGACTTTTTTTTTTTTGGAGGGGGGTGTGGGTACTCCTTGAACTGAAGGTTTATTTGTATGTTTAATATAGTTCCCTTCAGTGTTTGTCTTGGGTTTGTGTTTATTAGTAAAGTGTAAGAAGCCTTTGTGAGGTCGTAAAAGGTGAACTTTTGAACTTGGAAAGCGCCCTGGAGCAATTAGCTGCTGGAGCAATTGCACCGGGAGTTCTGAATTACAAAGGGTGCTGGGGGACCTGCAATAGCAAATGCTGAAGTGGCAAAACCTCTTTATTTATTTGCTGTGGCTTCCACCTTTTACACATCTATGCATTTCAGAGTAAAGAAGAGAGTAGCTAAGGTTTTACTCTTCTTAGATATTTGCAATTGTTTAGATAGATTTAGTCATGGAATTATATAAATTGAGCCTTCAAACATTAGATGTAAAATGTTAAAGTTGAAAGCCACAATAGAATGTTAAGATAAAGATAACAATGTTAAAACTGGGAGGGATTGAAGAATATAGTTTGTTAGAACTTAGAGCTAGAAGAGATCTGAGAACAAAGAATGTTTTGGATGTTCTAACTTCCAAGTAAAGTATTTGACTAGAAAATAACTGGCCACAGTATTGCAGAAATGTCTTTTAAACCTGGCTTAGAATTGGGAGGTATATATTTGACTTTGAGGGAATCTGCTGAATTTGTGACCTGAAATCCTTGCTGACTCTTGCTGCTTTATGGAATAAATTCAGATGGGTTTGTGTTATTTTAATATTTGAATAAAGCATAAGTCGCAGGTGGAAAGAAGTTTTAAAAGTTGAATCACATTTGATTTGACCTAGATTAAGATGTGGGAAATGTGGATAAAAGGAGTGCTTCACTGATATTTGGGTGTCATGTGTGATGGTGTCTTTGGGGATTGACTTCTGATTTGTGAACATGTTTGAAATCAATAAAATTTCCTGTGGCACAAAGAGAGGGAACCTGGGATCTAGTTAGGATAGGGAAAAAAGAGTCTTGTAGAACAAAGCCCATCTATTTAGTTCATTGGACTTTTTCCTCTGTAGTCTTTTTGATAATTTAGTTTAGCTATTAATCTGCGAATACCATTAAGCCCTTCTGAAAAAGTTAGACTGTGATTTGGGCTCTTCCCAGCAAGTCCTGTGAACCATATGTAAAATAAAATATGCCCTCTATTGGCTTTATGTAAGACTTTACATCCACAAAGATGACAAATCTTAGAACAGACTGATTACTTTTGTCTACTTAAAAGCAATATAGTAGTTAAGGGGAAGCTAGGAATTTCCCTGGCTATCAGTTATTCGTTGGTACATTTTAAAGAACTTTAATGGCGATTTTAACTCACCCAAATTTCCTATTCATCTTCCTGAATTGGCCAGAGCCAGTTTGAAATGGCAGAATTCTAGCCATCCTGTGGAAAACAGCATCACTTCAGTATTTGACTTTTATCTTATTTAGGGTTGCTGAATTCTTCTGTTTAAATGAAAGCTATCTCTGTGTTGCTGTAAACACATGGGAAATTGGGACATTAAGCCTAGCAAATAGTTATAAATGGAAATGGAATGATCATATTTGACTGGGAGGATGAAATATCTGACAGTTGATTTTTTTGCCCCTATCTTTTGTTCTCTCTTTGTATTAAAGCTTGAATTGGAGTTCCCAAGAGAACCACAGTATGCTAATGAAAATGAGTGACATTCTACATAAACATTTTTAAAAATTTTCTTTTGCTTCCTAGTTACAACCTTCTCTAGACCAAATGAAGATCTAAAATCGAGGAATAAAGAATGGTTGCTCTGGAGGGAACCTTAGAAAGTATCTAATCCAACCCCGTCATTTCTCCTTAAGTACTAGTCAGAGGAGCTGAATTCTTTTCACTTTTTGCCCTAGTAACAGATTTCCTCCATTGTAATAAACAGGGCTCTGTCCTGAGGTTTTTAAGCTTTGGGGGAATTTTGAGTTTGTGTAAAATAGAACTATAGTAGATAAAATAAAAATCCCTAATACTGATAGAAGTATGGAAACAATAAAACTCGCAAATGGAATTTTAGAAATGTTTTCCTGGAGGAATCCTGGGGATGCTCAATTTACAGTCTTCTAAATGGTTTTTCTGTTCTGTTCCCGTTGGTAACAGGACAGCCTGCCTTTGATGCAAGCAGCCCCAACCCTTCCAGGAATTCTTTGTGCTGAGTGGACAAGATATTTTTCTGTTGCTGTTTCGGAGGGTCTTTTACAACAAACACATTTGCTCAATTGTAGTTATAACTGAGGGGGACTATAGAAGGGCTTTCAGAAGAAAGAGGAATGATTTGGGGATGCCAACGGGGGTTCATTTTATTTGAGAAGAATAGGTAGCATATTTTCATGTATGGACATACATACTGCTTAACAAGAGTTAATTGGGTTTTCAAAAACAGATTACTGGGGGAAAAGACATTAGAGAGCATTTGTTTTCACAAGAACAATGTAATAAATGGAAAATATGGTTTAGTTATAATATATTAACTGCTAATGTGTGACCAACTTATGTAACTATAATGATTATATAGGTTGGCCCAAAAGACTTAGTGTAGTTTTAAGGGTCTTTTAAAATTAGTTTAATTAAAGCCATTTGAGCTTTAACAACTTAAAACTGAATCTAGACACCATGAATTGGGACACCATGTACTTTAAATAATAACTTGGACCAGATGATCTGAGGTTCTTTCCACTTAAAATTTCTGTGATTCAATTCAATAAATTAAGCATCTATTATTGTATGCAGAGCCCCATGGTGAGAGGGTGGGTGGGGAGGGGGGGAGAGATAAAGTTTAGATAAGATATGGCTCTTGTCTTCTTGGAGCTTGCTTTTTTTTTTTTAGGAAGATAAATATTCACATATGTAATATTCAGCATCATAGTTAAGTTCTTTAGAGAGGTGGAAAGATAAGTGCTATATAATTAGTGGACTTGTTACATTCTGGTGGGATCAGGAGAGACTTCTGGGAGGGAGAGGCCATTTGATTTAGGGTTGAAAGGATCATTAGAAATTCACTTGACAGAGAGAAAGAAGGGGAGAGCATTTCTGGCTAACTGGAGAACTGGAAGCAAAGTATTGAGGTGTGAGAATGGGGAGCTTATTATGGAATTGA